AAGCAGTTCCATGCAACGTATTGTACAAATATATTGTATACATATTTGTCGAGATATTTCATTCGAAAGAGCAACGTTGGTTACCATAAATAAATCAACGGATATCGCCACTGAAATATGACAGCACAATCGACGTGGAAGCTGTAAACGATTTTAATTATACTATCAGGCAGTGCAATCTTTGCGTCATATTTAAGACTAAACAAAAGCACATTCCGTAGTTTGAAGGTCAATATTTCGTTGATATCGATAACATTTGAGCGCTAGATGGGTAGACGCACTGCAAAGAAGGAATGATATTGTTGACTATTCTTTTATCAAATATACTAAATGTTCAGTGTTAAAGAATATTGGGTATCCATGTTTAACGACGCGTTAGAGAGATAAGAAGCCACGAATAACAAAATTTAATAAATCGAATTAATATTATTTTGGCGTGTATCTCAAAATAAGGGATTTGAAACCGTATCATCCGATTTTCGTATTTAATTTTGATTTAAGCGTTCAAATTGCGATAAGCATCACAAGTCCCTATCTAGATCTAGTCTAGAATATTATAAAGATTGAATGCTTTTTCTGTCATATACTTGTAACACATTGTAACATTGTGCAATAACTGTTCGAGATGCTGCAAATTTGATAATTCTGTTCCATATGGTTTTATTTCTGAGCAAAGCAGCTCTGAGTAAGCACCTAAGCGCAGGAGGCCTCTTATGTATGACATCTCGTAAAAACCCATATGAATATTTTGGTTTCATACGGAGTTTTAAGCTTTTACTCTGAAAAACCCTGGAAATCTACAGGGTTTGTAATGAATAAGTAAGGAAGAAGTTCAAAATATAAATCTGTGAAACTATAAAAACACCGTATATATACAACGAGCGATCGATTTTTATGGAACTTGACAAAATACCACAATAAAAATTGAAATTTGGGGGTCAAAATGCCAGAAAATATTTTTTGATGATTAATTGACAAATAAGCGATGAGCTAAGCTAGAAATTCAATTGTATCAAGATAGCTCCTGCCCGGGGCAACTTAAACAAGGATTTTGTGTGGTATTATATTTTATTCAAATGAATCCTAAAGACAGGCGCAACAAAACAGTCGAAAACAATGTTATCGCAAAAACAAAGAAAATCTAAAACCCGTAAACAACATGTAAGGTCATGGCGCTTCATAGATTCCTGGAATGCGTTCGACAGGAATTTTTTAATTGTCATCATCATATTCGGACCTTGAGATTTATTTTGGACGAAACTGTATTAGTCACATCTTACTCAGCGAATCATTTATCTATTTTGACTCGGCCAAATGTAGGACATCGCTGAGGTTTAGTACTAGCGTGGTCGATTCTGGGAAAACGAACATTTCATTAAAATAAATCTGAAATATCAGGATTTTTTTGTGAACAAAAATAAGCAATTCTCAATTAAAGGATTAAAATTTGGGTGTTTTCGAAGGTCGCAATTGAAATGTCCTGATGTTCTTTAAGTACTACTTTACTTAAGCCTTCTTAAAATTGTCGAAAAGTAAATAATTTTGGACGAAGGGCGCAGCTGCAAGTTTAGTTTAATAAAGTAAAATTACATGATAAAACTGAGAACTGAAAACTACAACAATTTTTCACGTTACTCGTCTTTTATATGAATGTATTTAGGTGTTGGACTTTCTTATTTTTTGATTGTTATTTATATCTATAAAATGTCTTATTTCAATAATACACACTCACATTCGAATATCTAGGTAAAAATAAATCAATTATTTTTCGTATTATTGGTAATAAAACGTCATACCGATAAGCTGAAATCAACAAAACATGTTAAATTGACGTATTTGTGAGTGGATTTCACTAAATAAGGTATTTGATTGCTCGTGGCAAAGTATGGCTTTCAGTAGAGTAATCCCAAATTCTAACTTTTTCCGAAGACATGGGAGTGATTACGTATACTTTATATAGTTTAATGTATTCTGACAAATAAAAGGTTCACATATAAATAGACAGAAACGGATTTATAATTGCGTATGCAAAACCGTTATAAATTTGCATACAACAAACAAAATTAATAATTTTATGTTGTCAATCAGGCCTAAATTGAGAAAAGTACATATTTACTTCATTTTTTCTAAGTGTTCAATCTAAACTGACAAGCAATTATTTGTGGTTGATACACATTTATAACTTTATAAGAGAGATTTAACAAATCATTTGAGATTAGTAATTAAAGCAAGACAAATTGTTAGTATTTTTTAGGGCTTTTGGATAAAATTTATAATTTTTCCGTGTATTCCTCTTAAATAAAAAGTAAAATGAGAACAGATTGAATAATTGATACTAAATCAAAAGTTCTGTTCTTGTTTTATGTACCAACTTACAGTGATATTTTGGTAATTTGTTGGAGTCTTTTTTGATATTGTGCAACCGAAATAGTCGTACAATGACATCGCAATTAAACCCTCGAAAACAAACTAAAAATTGCGCGTTTCAAGGTTATAATTACTCAGACAAAATGAGAAAGTAACGTCGATATGGTCAAAAACGCGACATGATTAATCCGGACCAAATTAAATATGTTTCGTGGTCAAAACAGAACAAATATAACAACAATTATACCTCATATATTTCATATCATTATGCAACGTCACGTGAAAACTTGAAAATATTAAGTATATTATTTTATGTACTGGTTACGTTGCGTACAATGTTCAATAAAGGACCAATCCCTTACGTGAAAATGTTGACGTTGTATACGTTTATTTGATTTGTTTATTCCAATCACGGGGTCATCATTGATTCGCGGTCGTGTTTGTTCGAGAGAAAATGTTTAATTGAAAGGGCGGGACATCTAGACCTAGCGCACCGCTTTCGCTTCGTACGGTATATAAATAAAATACAAAATGGCGCCCACGCATATACGAGACTGTTTATATTAGAAGCGGGGATAAGGGCAATCTTGCAACCCGTCAGTCCTAAAATTTTGCCCCATATTTGTATTTTTTTTACAAATGAAATTATTCATTGGAATTTCAAACATCACATCGATAAACTATAAGAGCTTCTGTTATCGTACCTCCCTAACGATGGAGATTTGAGTACCTAAAAATTTGGTTAGATCAGAATGTCCGGTGTTAAACTATTTACACTCAAGTGAAACAAATATCTATCCTTATTTGAAACCTACTGGCCGACAAATCACCATCTGAATTCGAAAAGATATCAATGTATATGAAACGTGTATGTATAAGTGAGACTTGTCTAGAGAATTGTTCGAAGCAAAATTTGAAACAAATCATTAAAATTTGTCATATTAAACCTGTCATAATTGTAATTTTCCTACTATTACAAACTATTATAAAATAAATCAATTTTTCGTAGATGGTTACGTAGACATACATTTTAAAACATTGCTCACTCAGTTTTACCAACTCGATATGGTTTCAATTATAAGTTTAGATCTAGTCGTAAAATTAACACGTTATGCAGCAAAGCAACTTAACAATCGTTTATCATATGGCAAAGTAGGACAAGTCTCCTCAAAATTCAGGTGAAACTAACGAATAATTTGTTACAGTATATGATAGGTCGACGGTTTGAGAACTAAGCACCATATTTGCTTTGTCCAAATAACCACAATTCAAATATTTTCTTAACAACATTTAATGATCGCGGGACAATTTTTATACGCATAGTTAATGCTCATAGTTTACATTGCTCAGTCTTTTCCTATGTGGGATATATTTTCAAGTCGGAATTTTTTTATGATCAAAATTATAGGAATTTCCAATACCCACTTAGCGGTTTTGTTATTTATTATTTACAAAATCATTAACCCAAATGCAGAGTGGACTCAAAAAAAATATTCTTTAGAATTTCAAATTTAAAGTTATGATCGGAGACCTTGCTTCATAAGATAGCAAAATGAATAAACCTTGTTATAGATAAGGACAAATAACAATAATGCGTGTTGCAAGTTGTTGGTAGGCCTGGTTATGAGTTTCAAATTAAGCCAAAAAGTTTTTAGTTGCACTATCGTTTGAAATCTAATAATAGAATCCAACCTATTTACTTAGTCAATGGTGGAAATCGCAGCCTTTTGTGTAAATTCGGCATTCAAATGAACATTCGAGTAAGGTAAGGTTTGGGTACTGGGGTAAGGTCGAAACGAGTACATCTACAATTCTTTTTCAATATTAAGTGAAATCTCCTAATGTAACGTGAACAGACCTACCTGAAGGCCGATACAACACGAATTTGTAAAGAGACTTAGTATATTCAACCGAAATAACAAAGTGACTTTCATATAAGCATTAAAAAGAGGTACGATTCCGCCAAATAAAGATAAAAAATGACCCATTTTTGTATAGTATTATAGGCTGTTCTTCCTTATCTAATTCATAAAGACAGAAAGATTTATACATTGGGGGAGAAGAGTCATAAGATATCTTCCACATTACTCAATACAAACAGCGGAAAGGGAATATATTGCTCGTTGTATCTGGCTTACAATTAATTCGTACACCGTAGAATGAATGAATCATATTGAAAATTAACCAGAAACGCACAATGCTGTTCCATACGAGTTTCCTGAGAAAGTCATCTTGAGATTTTAGATGGCCCGCTTGCATTTGAACAACTTAGAGCCAAATAAGAGATCATTTGAAATAAGCTGATAAGGCCAGAAATATCATTTATTTTTAGTTGTTACACGACCAAATTATTACTGTGTTTTGATAGTGTGAAAGTACATCGTAAGTCATAATAAAGTTTGAAGAATAGGGAAGATAATCGCAACTGAAATCAACAAAATGTGAACCAAATGATTTTTTTATTGGCCGATCAAATTCAGAGGCCAAAGGTAAATCGCCGAAAAAGCGTTTGATTGGATATATCGGTAGCTAAAATTATCGTCGGATATTCTTGAAAACGCCATAATTATTTTCTTAGGTGGAACCACAAAAAGTTTGGCAACAGATATCAGAAAACAAGGTATCAAACTTACCTCCATTTTCGTCGTCGGGCTCTATAATGTGTCTCGGTCTCTGTTGCTTGTGTCGCGGCATCTTCGAGCTTCTTATCGTGTTTGCAAAATGTCATGCAAAAGCGACGACTATATCTTTCGCGGGTTTTCTTCCCGCGAGATTATTCTCTTCCAGTTCCGGTATATGTTGCGACGTCCTTCGTTTGTGATTTTACGTCAGAGATAACTTTTGTGAATCTTGTAGACACGCACGTTGCAAGTACCAATGCGTAATAATTAATTCTATTAATATTGTTTGTATTAGTAACAACGATTTGTATGACTTATCAAATGAGAGAAGAAAAAGAAGAACGCAACGTGAATTTGCGTGGGTTATCTGGTGAACAAACTCTTATCTCTTACGCCACCTTGTGTTAGCACGAGCATCACATTAGTATTTAGTTTGCACTTGACAAAGCAAATTGGTGCATTAATTCCAAATCAGTCGTTCTTGCGAGCAGCATTGTCAACCTGATTTATATATATGTCAATTTCGAAGCTGCCATGACGTAAAACTATGGATGTATAATTAGCTATTCGTCGTAATAAACTTCCCATAGCTTATACTTCAATCCAAACTGCCCCCTTCGAAAATCAGCAAATCTAACTTGTTCGACGTGAGATGAACATATTTATTTTATGAATATATTTTCAATTAATCCGCTTATCGCCGGAAAAATTGTGGTTTTTAAATAAATACTTATACAAATCCCCAATTCTAAATACCAAATAAGATCTTGTTTCCAGAATATACATATATTTGCAACACTAAATTGGTACGGATACATTAACGTTTGAAGATACGCAGTCAACTGGACGTAGTACCGATAAACAAGGAAACGGTTTTCTACATACAACGATTGGTCACAGATGATCATCTAAGATATATTTTAACCTCAAATTTCTGGTATAGTGTGAAATACAGTTTATAAACTACTAAAATCATCGTAACCCTATCATTGCTTTTAAAATGGGTAATATTTCCAGAAATGTCTACTATCGTAATATTTGTGGTTAGTTTGGTATAACACAGCTTCAATGTTTATTATGGGATTTTACGAATCGTTATCGCTTTCTAAAGATACAAGTTCTTTGTTCAATGCTTCTTGCCAAAGTCTTATTGAGTTTTCATAGTCAGGTCTTCCACCACTTTCTGCCATGATGCTGTAGTATGATGTGATTTTTAGCAAGTGATGATAAATTTTCACACCTTTTCTATATCTATCGGCTCTATCATTGAATTTCATCTTCAGTTGTAGTCCAGCAAGTAGCGCCGTAATTGCTATTAGAATGTTTTGTAGGATCTGTTGAAAATAGAGTAGCCTACGTAGATGTTATACAAAATCTAATTAAGATAAAAATATTGAAGTGTTCGGTACAACTATTTTCAGTAATATGCAAATTGAAACTCTCATTTATTATGTAATTTCACTCCATTTTTTATTTAGGGTATTATAAATAAATCAATGTGTTACATACAACGAGAGTTTCATTAGAAAGCCAGACATCTCTGAGTGGCTGTATTGCCATTTGTAAAACTTGGAGAGACAGAAGTGCTAATGTCATCAGAGATTCACAACCAGAGTAGAATTTAATTCGAACTTCACACTTTCTGACTTTCTTTTGAAATCTTTCCCGTAATTTCTTCACAAGTTCGTCCAAATCCACCTGGAAAAAAATTCTAAGGAAATAATAATATATATTGGAGATAAAATATATATATATATATATTATGAATAGTCCATCCATATGTTCATCCTGTTTCATCTTGGCCGTTTCTTGCCAATTTCTCCCGTCTGAATCTCTGAAAGTACATTGTAAAATCTAAAACCCGGAAAGCGAGTAACGTGTAGATTTTTGAATACCCTGAAATCAGTTTAATTTAATTAAAAGGATTCCCATTTGATATAAAGTACATTACAATGTGATGATTCGTATATTGAGAAATTAATTGAGTCGATTGACATATTCTATGGATACAGCTTTACAACTTACAGCTTCTGGATTTGATATAGATATTGATCGCTGAAAAGGCCCTCCATCTCCGATCATTGTCAAATCTGTTTCATCCAGTTCCATTGCAGGATTACAAGCACCACACTTTCCTTGTTTCTGATTCATTTCAAACGTTGACGAGTTTTTTCGGGAATCAGTGGATTTGTCTTGATCCTGCATTTTTGTTGTTTTGTTATTTGAAGTTGAACTTTGATCTGACTCTGTAGAAATTCATTTCTGATCATGGATGGAAACAAAATGCCAAAAACTAATTCTCGTTTCATATCACAAAAGTAAGAAAGTTTTCTACGCGGCGTACTTTGATAAATCGGTAAGTCAGACCTTGGCAACAGGGCCATTCATATCAGGTATTATTTTGCTATACTTTAATTAATCGAGGACATAACTTGTATCAATGAACATATTTTAGATATGGATGCTAATTAGTCCGGCTATTAAGAGATTCGTTCAAGATTTTTTTGCCTTTTTTGTTTGAAATGCCTGTATTATTTGATGATGTAAAAACTTGCCAAAAGCCACTTATTCGCAATAAACCCCTCAGAACTCCACAAATATCGATGACTTGCCCATACACTTCTTCTCATGCTGTGGCGTAATGCGTCCGCAAACGTGGTTGGCGGGACAAGATGCAACCGATAAGCCATTAAGCGAAGCACCCCTTGAAACAAGGTGGGATATAACATAAGACAATATGCACTAAAGCCTAGGAGCCACGAGGCCTTTACAATCAATTTTGAACTATTATTCATTTTAAATCGTTTTAAATTGTAAAGGCATATATTCCAGAATAATGTTAATTCAGGTTAAAACTTTATAGATTTCTTGTTTGTTATCCAGGTTAACAATTCTTGTTCCAAATATTTACCGTTAAAAATTTGAAATACGGCCGAATAAATAAATTTGTAGAACTCTGAAAAATTCTAACCCTTCAATAAACCCCAAAACAAAGTGTACTAATTTAAATTACCAAACAGTTTTTACCACAATAATGCATTTATTTTACGAAAAAAATATCGGACCTCCTGAAGTATGCGCACAACCTGAACTCAGGTTGTGTACCAGGTGAGGGTTCAGGTTGTGCGACATCTTGGTACTTCAGGAGTACCAAAATATCGATATATAGCTATATATATATATATTCATCCAAGCAATAAGGAATGTAAGCATTATTATATATATATTTACTATGCCATATCTCACTAAAAACGAGTAGTATGACGTCGGTTTCTGGTATCATGACGCTTTGTATGTATGTATCTTGCCCGTATAGCTAAAGTTTTGTAATTCACGTATTTTAAAACTGCACTTGTGATGACATAATACATAAACTAGGAATCCCTATTATGACGCAAATGACAGATTAGTTGTGACGTCATTGTTACCGAGGGACCTTACAATTAGCATAACCTAGGTCCTAGGATGTCTCATCGTCTAAATTAGGCCCTGATTCAAACCTACGTAGGTTTCCGCCAGTGTTGGATTAAACCATGGAGCAAAATAAGCCACGTGGTTAGTGCACCACAGACAAGAGGGCACCACAGAAATTTTCACAAAAGATTTTTCAATGATGCGTCAGTGTTTAATGAAACAATTCGAGTGTCTAGTCGACAGTGGACACAGACCTCAATATTGGCCCCACTGAAATAAAGTTCTTAAGTGTCATCTTACCCCTCTCTATCAATCTTTGTTGAGAACCGTTTTCTAAAAAATCATGCAAAATCAAAATCTTAAGTGCTCAAGACCCCTGAAAGGCATTATCCGGCCCTGGTTGCCGCCGATCTAAGTATTTTCTTCGTTATTGTAACGCACTTGGTTTGCCGAGGCGGTGAGCGGATCCTTGATTCAACTGTTTTTTGATTGTGGTAGGCCCGTGATTAGGCTTACCATACGTCCCGCTTTAGGCGGGACAGTCCCGCTTTTCAGCATTTTGTCCCGCCATCCCGATAAGTCAGCCAAAAGTCCCGCTTTTCCAGCATAATACACACACATGTTCTCGTTACTGTTGTTTATGTGTAGCGCAGCGCTAGCCTACTTCTGAAGGTGAATGCGTTCGTTTCCCGCTGATTCCTATTGATGGCAGACGTATCGCATGTAAAACGAATACTAATTAGTCTAAATTCGAAGTATTTGTACCGGTATCGTTAACGTCAATTCCTTCCTATTTTTCGAACTGAACCCGATATTTGGACAGAGAATATGCGCATGAAATTTCGATAACAATATGGTCAATAAAGACAGCCGAGACAGCTTTAAATGTAGGAATGTAGGCCTATGTAGTAAAATCGGAAAATGTGAAGATACAAAATCACAGCTAAGAGGTCGTTGTCTTTCGAGGCATCCCGATTTGAAGTCACAATAATATGGTAACCCTACCTGTGATCTATGTTTCTTGATTTTATACTCAAAGCGTCTCCTGATATCTCGGAGGAACACCCCAGTTTAAATCCTATGACTTTGGTGTAGGTACTAACTTGGCGATAAAGTCGGCGATTACCATTAATAACGCGATGGAGGTGAAAGTCAAAGCAAGAATTTTTTCTTACATTTTTGAAATTATTATTCCGGCAGCGAGTGCAGCTGCCAGAACGCAACATTTTGGCGTAGTTTTACGGCGATGCTAGGGGTATTTCAATACAAAAAAAAAATTAAGAAAAAGATTTATTTTGAACCTCCCTTATTTTAAAACAGGCTATTGTTTTAGAATTGATTAAAAGCAAAATCCTACGGCTATTTGTAGATTAAATTTCCAGAATTGAATATTGCATGACTTTTTATGGCGTTTCATCTGCTTAGGTTTTCACACCGGATCATCGATGATTATATATTATTTTGACCACTATATGTATATTATATATGTATATATATATATACAGTCAAATGTAGTGAGTGAAAACTATTTACGTTTTATAAATGATTGTTAGTTACATCATAGAATTAACAAAGCTTGATTATAAAGGGGCGTTAACATTTTAGCGAGTTTTTTGAAACAAAGCAACTTTATAGTCACATCTTAATTAATAAGATTTCATCTCACCTTTGTCGTAATCGTCGTGTAGTATGATCTCTTCCTTGTCGCCACTTGATTTTCGACTTCGTTTTATACTTTTTTTAATGGAATCTCCAAACATAATTAATATTGTGTATGATATTTAATATAAACAAAATGTACTAAATACGTTCACCCTATCTAATACAGCGAGTTAATACATGTGCTACATAAATGAACTAATAAAAACATATATATATATATATCCCTACAACTTCAAACCAGGTCCAGTTCATCTACCGAAGGCTTTGGGTTCAAAATAATAGAGAACAACGAATGTAGTAATGTATTTATATTATAGCTATAGCATTCTGTTTAATATAGTAATTTCTCCAAACGGAGTATTTCATTTGTGTCCACAGTTAAGCACAACCGATTGCCAGTCATTTCATTCAAAACTTTGAACGGATACGATATATATATATAATAGTCCTTTTATTTTCACGTGCCGTTTACTGTTTTTCAACTGCTCTAAAGCTGAATAGCAGAATATACACGCGTTATAGAATAGATATGATTTTTAATACTAAATCACACTATATTATCACTAAGTCACATTGATAAATCTCCTGACTCTACACCCAACCAGTCATAGTAAAATCGTATGCAACTTATCGAAGTTACCATTGATGTGGTCATAATTAATGGCTCGTTTTCTACTGATCAATATAATCAACGTCTGTTATATTGCCATCATTTCACTATACTCGCGAAACAGATTGTATCGTTTTACTAAATGGAAAACCGATGATTTCGTCGCAGATTTTCTGGGAATGATGTAAATCAAAATATTATCAACAAAAATGGACATCTCCATATTTAGTATCAGGTAGCTTCGTCGATACTGACATCTCGAAATTGATAGTCTATCACATCACATATTATGTTCCATGCTATCACACCACGTTAGACTATTTTTGAAAATGCTTTGTTCAAAGCAGCCCATATCAAGTTCAAGCAAGCCACAAATGCAATGATTTGAAATGTGCTTATTTCCATTGAGTATGCTGTGTGAGTGTATGACCTGACCTTGATGATGTAAATTTCAATGCGGTAAAGCGACTGGACAACTAGAGGCCATTTTTTCTAACTATCTACTTTTTGTCAACGGCATTTGAAGCTCAGTTTTAAAACCGACAATAAAGAAGAAATGAGCAAAAAAACAGTACCGGACAAATTGTCACAGGATGGCCGTTGCCGTATAAATTATACTTACAGACTTTTTCACTTTGTCCTCCCTAATGCGATTGTGACGCAATAATTGGAAGCAGTAACGCGTGGCGGTTATACGATTTGTACTGTATTGTGCAAATCGGTGTTATTCGGAATTATTGTAAGTGTAAACGTAAAGCATCGGCTTAGTCTTGAAAGCAATGAATCTGGACAGGACAGGTTTCGCTCCGTTAAATGGGAACATAGGGGACAAACCCTGTCTCTATCATAATCCAGAGCGGACTTGGATAGAAGGTTCGGGGTTGAATTATATTTAAAACTATAAATTTACTCGTTTGATCTTCGAACATATATATCTCCAACTCCAATCTCTGGCTTAAGCTACAATATATAAACTACTACAATCATCATATCACCATCAATTTTATTGAATGATATTCATGAATGTCTATTATTGTAATATTTCTAGTTAGTTTGGTGTAATGCATTTGGCGAACTTTATCATGAAATTTCACGCCTCCTCATGCTTAGCGCCCTATGTCGATACGAGTTCTTTGTTCAATGCTTCTTGCCAAAGTCTTATTGAATTTTGACAATGATGCCATAGTATGATGTTATTTTCAGCAAGTTTTCAGCACCTTTTATATTTATTTGCTTTTTCATGAATTTCATCGTCGATTGCAGTTCTGCCCGTAACGCCGTAATTGCTATAACGATGTTTTGTAGTATATATCTGTTAAAAAATAGAGTACTTAGATGATAGACAACCAATAGTTATGATGAAGTATTTGAATACATTATATAATTCTTTACAATTAATTGTAAATCCAGACACTCATTTTTTATTTATGTAATTTGGCTCTGTATTAAATTGTGATCTCATAATACAACAATGTGTTACATACAATGAGAGTTTCATTGGAAAGCTACACATCTCTGAGTGGTTGTATTGACATCTGTAGAACTTGTAGAAAAAGAAGTGTCAATGTCATCAGAGAATCACAGCTAGAGTAGAGTGATTTGAACTTCACACTTTCTGACTTTTCTTTGAAATCTTTCTCCTAATTTCTTCACGAGTTCATCCAAATCAACCTGAAAGAAAATTCTATCTGAACAAAATAATTTTTCAATCTTATTTTTGTCCTGTTTTATCCTTGGATATTTTATTACCCGAACATATTTTATTACGCGATCCACGTTTTCAGCGAAAGAATGAAAATTTCGTAAATATTCTTTACAGAACCTACTCGGATTATCAACAAATGAACCAGAAGTCTAAAATTAAAAAAGAGAAATCGAAACAGAACTAGAAATGAAAATTTTCATCAACTTGAAGAAATTATGAGTATGAGACAAGATTGAAATTGAACTGGAGATGAAAATCATGGTTGTTTAAGGAAGAAAACGTATTGGCATCTGTTGAAACAAGATGTAATTCCTTATGCAAATACATTCCGTAATATATTATCATATTGCAATGTTAGAGGGGAGAGATCATGTCATTCAGATGCGGATTATGCAAATGCGCAACAGTTACTAGCGTACTAAACTGAGAAAGCATACTACACGTATTGGCCATAGGTCAATTTATTAGCAAATGAAGCAAAGACCTGGGCCCACATGTCCTCCTTTAATGCAGAGGAACAGTGGTTATTTGTTACAGCATAAATTCTGTTTGCTGTGACTTCGAATGTATAGTTAAATCTTATATGGGAAATAGTGTAGCCAGCATCAGGCAAGAGCCTCCATTTGATAAATTTAAAACGTGGGCCGACGAAGACAAAACACCGCCAGTCGAGGATATTTAACAAATCTTATAAGGGCATGCAGTTGATGACTACAGGGAGCTATCACGTGTCATACACTTTACATAGTGTACTGCATTGTGCACCGAACGTTGCGCGATCGGTTATAAGTCGCTGCCCTCGTAAAACAACTACAGTAGGGGATTCCGACTGCTATGCTCGAAGCAGACGTTGGATGTAACCAACACTGATTGCGCTGTGATGGCCATGTGAAAATTGGTCGAGATCTAGGCCACCTCCATGTAGAAACGGAACGAGATGTAAAATTCGTGTAGAAATAGGACGTGTAATTTCCGAAGTTTAGGTGATTCAAAAGTACTCCGTCGCTTTTCCCTTTTCCCAATTTTTTTTTATCCATCATACCATGACTCTTGTTGTAAACACGACGAACGAGCTATTCGGCCTGCACAACTACCGTCCGTATAATATTTATTGTGATAATTCGTTTTCACATATACAAGTAAATGTAATAGAAAATCTGATTGAACGTGGAGGTCGGGGCGCCAATTTTATAGTTTGCCCCGGGCGCAAAATATGCTGGCTACGCCTCTGGTCGTAACCGACCAGCGGTTACGTGAACTACCCTACGGCGGCAAGGAGTCCAGCTATCTTCTCGCATATTATCATCCCCGCATGGATTCGAACCCGCGCAGGGCAATCAGAGAACGCTTAGCACGATGCGCCACACCGCCGAGCTATCTATCCCTCTTGCTATCTTGTTATAAAGCTAACTTGTCCTAACACAAGCTAGAAAGGGAATCAGGTATTATAAAAAAATATGTCGCTTATTTATTCATAATCAAAAATTTTAAATTTTATTTTAAAGTTTCAGAACAAATACTAACAGATTCCACATTGTGCCCGGACCGGATTTGAATTTGACCAACACGCCGGTTTGTGATGTCATTGAACCGCACAAACGGCCGCTCGTCGTAGTAAACAAACCGATTCAGTTGAATGAAAACACGGGAGAATTGTTGAGTTCCTGGTCGTGAATCGTGACGTCTTGCAATTATAGGTTCGTGTGCCGCAAATTAGGCGAGTAGCGATAATATTATACATTATTTTATTCAACATTTTCTGCTTGGTTAGATTTAAACGGGTTGAAGTTAGTAGGTTGATAATTTTTTATATGAACCGTACGACAGTACGAGAAATACAGAAATGTTGCAACAAAGATTGCATAGTTCTGTAGTTCGCTCTTTAAAGTTTAAATCAGTAACGACAGTCTGACAGTATATCAAACGTTTGTGATCTATCTTATGCTTCGCACTATGTCCCTATATGATACCGTAGTGATAATAGTGGACCACACGCTGACATAGTACGTAATGATACCAAAATACAGCTTTATGGGCATCTTCAAGCTGTCCATTAAAGAGATTGAGATTCTACTATTTACCGTATCCAGGTATCTGGAATAATACATATACTGAACTTAAGAAATTCCATGAGAAAAAAATCTGAATTTTTACCTCTTTTACAATGAGGAATAATGAGGTTTCATTACAGTATTAAGCATGTGATTGTGAATTGTTGCTGCTGTTATTGATGAACTTAATGTCTCAAATGTTTAAATTTAATTTATTTTTTTTAACCAATAAATTTTAGGCAATAATACAAGGATATTTAATATCTAATACCAATCATTTTCAATGGGGCAAAAAGATTATGTAATTTTATTTATGTTACATTATGATATATTGGACCATCAGTTCATCAATATATAAATATTGGGGTAAATAAAATTGCAATTATCTTGCACATCCTTCATTAATACTGGAACTGGATACCCTGACAGGAAAATATGAAGTTATAACACTGTTATGGCAAGTATGTTATTAATCTATCAATGGAAATTTGTGCCCGTAATTAGTAAATATCCTGTTTTTGTCGCGCCATGAATTTTATAATCTATTTTCCTCTATTTTTTTGCCTTTGTGTGTGAAGAAATTAAAAAAAAAGATTATTTTCCCAATAGATATTATAGACTTGCCTCACCACTGAAGTTAGGTTATTGGCTTATTGCTCCAAGTTTTGTGGTTATCTTTTTAACAGTTGCCTACTAAGATGTGAATGAGATTAAATGAAACTTGTATAGGGTAATCAATGGTGGGATCCCTAGCGTTTTCCTAATGTTTGGTATGATGCGCCAATCGTATGCCAATGAATAGTATATGATGATAGTATAATCTATTTATATTTTTTGGGTGTAACGAAGTAAACGCTGTAGGGTAAATTTTTAAATAACAACGCCAAACAGAAATGTACTTCTTTAGACGCTATTTTTCATGTCTATATTGATGTATATTTTGTGGTGTCATAAAAATATAATATTATTTTCAGAATGTCTTGATTTGATAAACACATTATGCCATCTAAAATTAAATCTAATGCGATTGCCGCCGGTAGCGCAGGATTCTTGAAGCCTACCTTTTCTTCACTAAGTAAAGCTGTTGATAAAAATGACAATAAACTGGCAAACTTTGTTGTGAAAGAATTGAATAATAATGATATCAAAAAACAAAATTTTCAAAAGCAAAATAATATTGGTGAACAAAAAGAAACGGGCAAAGAACCAATTGTTCTTCCTACTGTAGTGCAGGAAAGCCCTCTTCATAGTTCAACTTCAGCGACTGATGCTTTATCCCATTCCAATGGTTCAGCAAAATCTTTTCATGCTCATGTAAATAATGAAGTTGAAAAAAATGACAAACCCGTGGAAAAAAATCTTGCTCAAGCTCTATCAGCTTCTCTAATATTGGATCATGCATCCCCCGATGATAATGATACTAAAATTCGAGATGCACGAAAAGTTTGTGATGAATTACGAGTACAAATTGAAGATTTGAAAAAGCAGCAACAAATGTTTGTGACACGGTTGAGTGGGGAACATGAGGATTTTGAAAAAATAGACAATATAAAAACCGAACCCGAAAAACAAACTGAAATGGATTTAATTCTAGCAGATCCCGGGGTTCCATGTAAAAATTGTGATGAGGTGTCAGATGGCAATGATAATGCTGCTAAAGATGTTCGAAAGAAAGTGCAAAATTTTGGTCGAAATGCTTTTGTGAATGGAGCACGATTTAACAAACCCTTTTCGACTAAGAAAGTCAATTGCCAATCACCCTCTTTGTCATCTGACGATGGTTTCAACCTCCACGGGTCTATGACTTCAGATGCCAATGATTTACTAGTCAAAGAGGAATGGCTTGGGTCAAGAGGATTACCCAAAGATGTCCCACCCACAAAAGTAATAAAACGCTTGATGTCTGAAAGAGAAAGATACAAGAAAAAAGTTAAGCATTTACAGCAAGCTCTCCATAAACTCAAAAAACAGCATTCTCATCAATCATTTGGTAGAACGCCTGATATTGCTGCTCACGATATTGTGTACTTTAATGCAGACCTTATTGGCGAAGGTTATTTGAGTTATGTGTACTCTGGAACCATATACAAGAATCAGAAAGCTGCGATCAAGAAGTTAATTCGTCCAGATATGATGTCAACATCAGACAGGTGGGTGGCTTGATATCATATCTTTATCTGTGTAAGTATTATCAACAACACAATGTTTTTAACATGAACAAGCTCTCGTTTATATGGTATTCTCCACCAGTCATTTCAGTCTATACAATATTCCCATCTTTATTACAATCTGTTATCTCACATTATATACCAGCAAAAGGCATATAGGTCCATAATATTATATATATATATATATAATATTGTTCAAGTTTACTAATATTGTTTGGTCTGAGTTTTATTTCTGAAACTGTTTTAGATTGGATTTCAGGTAGTGCCTCATGTAAATTTACAGGTTCAACTGTTAGAACCACACTTACAAAAAAGTGATTTTCTCAAAACCTTATTGTGACATACGGTAGCTACTTTGGTATTACTGTGGCGATTTGTCCAATTATTATTACAGGTTATTGCTCTAAACTCAAAGACCTTGATGGTCCAGTAATCAGTTCAAAGCTCCTTTCAACCCAGTATTGATATGCTATGCCAAGCCTGGAATTTTTGATTGTTCTTGGCCTAGTAGAGCCCAATTTCCTGATATATATAAGCGACGGCATGACATGGAACATATTTTTTTTGGTTTAATATTAACTGTATGTGATCCCTGAAACAAACTTCTTTTTAGAAAAATATAGTTCGTTTCGTACAATTTAATTGAAATTAAAATAGTACCATCATCATTAAAACCTCCAATTTTCTATAGGAGCTACTTGGCAGCCGAAGCTGGACTTTTGATGGCACTACATCATCAGAATATTGTTGAAGTATTTGGTGTGTCAACTGCACCTTTACAACCTTTAATTATCACAGAACTTGTGAAAGGAAGAAACTTACATGATAGATTACATTCTTCTGATGGTATGTCGGTGAAATGTCACATGAAATGTTAATTTATAGCTTTATCAAAAGCGGTTAAAATTATTTGATAACATCTATAATTATTGATGTGGTTTTAACTGTATTTCTCAGTCATTTACTGATGTTATCAGTGCAAATGTGAAAATAAACTTTGATAAGGCCAGACCTTCTGTTGGCAGTCAATATGGCGCTCATGCCTATTCTAGTATGGTAGACCATCGACAATAGTCCACATCATCATTGTTACATTAGGCTTCATATTTTTATTGACTATTTTTTGAGAACATGAAATATTTCCTGTGCTAGGTGATATACCATCAAGTATATGATTTATGACTGTGATATCAGATTGGTGACCTCGGTTTCTTGTTGAATTAGAACCTTGTCATTTTAGTTGTACAGTAGTCTTATCTTGTTGGCCACTTTCGGTTTTACAAGTTTTATATTGTTGAAAACCTACCTATATCATTTCTTTTACCTCAGTTGCTGATGGGAAAAAAAGGGTTTAATATCATAAAGACATTTGATTATTGTCTTAATTAAATGGGAAGTAATGTTCAACTTTTATCCTTTTTTTTTTAGGATGGCCCCTTAGCCCAGTCGAATATTACTCTATAGTTCGAGATATCACTGTTGGAATGGCATATCTTCATGGACAAAAACCACCTGTTCTTCATCTCAACTTGAGACCTTGTAACGTTTTGCTAGACTCAACCGGTCGGGCGAAAGTTGCTGACTTTGGATTTTCTAAAATAAGGCAAAATTCATTTATTTAATTATATCAGTTTGTTAATGTTAGATAGCCAGCACTGTTACAGCTGATCTATGCCATATTATCAGCTTGCTGTATGTGAGATTGTTTTAAATCTTGTTATATTTTACCCTTTTTATTTGGTTTTATGTTACCCTTCTCACTTTAAATGTCAAATGGCTCATAGAAGTCTAGATTTGCCATAATTGAAGCAATTCATAACAATTTTACAATCAGTAAACCCAAGCTTGTGCTGCAATCTAGAATGGCTTAAAGTTTTAAAATATATTTCCTCAATTTCTAATACAGAACAACTGGAAAACTTGTTTTAAATAAGCCACAATACTCAGGGTGTTCATGAAATCTCAATTTTTAAATTGCAAGAAGAATTTATCAATACCATATGATGTTTTGTTGGTCTCTATACATGTATCGAATGGAATGTGAACTTAAATAAACACTAACAAAAATAAAACAAACTTAAGTTAATCAATATATATTGAGAACTGAAGTCATAACAAAATTGAAACTGTAACAGAACTTCAGGAACACCCTGTACTATTTGACCCTTTTGAACTGATGTTATACACTATTTTCAGATTTTAAATGTCTGTTTTGTTGTAACTATAGGTTGGATGCGGGCGTGTCAAATCGAGCCAATCTCAGTTATTTAGCTCCGGAGCTTCTACAATTTCCTGTTCATTTAACAACGAAACTTGACGTGTTCAGTTATGCAATGATTATGTGGGAAATGGCTACGATGACAAAACCACACAAAGATACATCTACCTCTGAGGTATATCAATGGATAATTATAGCACGAAAATGCTAATTGAAATTTTATGGCAATTTCCCAATATGAGTCATCTGAACTCTTGATACCCTTTTGCTTTGGTTCAAAGGCTCATTTTGACTAGCTTATAGAGATGGATCAAGTAAACTTTAAACATATAGGCCTATGTAATATATATTTGTATTTTAACTAGTCTACTGAATTTTATACAAAATTTCACCTTATGTAAGAGTTAGCATGTGGTAATAAGAAGATAAAATTTACATTTTACACTTGCCTTTTCTATATTTTTTTTATTAGTGATTAACTTGTCCAATTTCAGTTCATTTAGTCATTCAACTATTAATTTTAAAGTCACCTATTGTCCACAAAATGCAATTTTACTGTTTTTTTTTTATATTAAATTTTGATTCTTTTTTGATTTTATTAAATTTAGATTCTGGCTTTGGTATCTAGTGGAAAACGTTTGAACATCCCATGTGAATTACCCAGTGGATTCCATGCAATAATATCAAGATCATGGGACCAATCACCAATGCAGAGACCATCTTTTAAAGTAAGTCTCTTTAAAATAACTAAAATAAAGTGCATTTTACTACTGGTAGTAATTTTTGTCAGAATATATTATTTTAGCTGGAAAATTTAATATTTTGAGCTCTATTGGACATGAAGTGGATTGTTTTGCTACATTCTTCTTGTTGTTGTTTTTGCGAAAAGAATTGCTTTTTTGCAAATATCGGAACAGTTATACTTTCAATAGGTACTTATTAAATAGATGAAATCGCTAGAAGACTATTTTTTTTAATAATCTACTGAGTTCTATGAGACCAGATATTTCACCAAAAATTTTGCTTCAATTATTTTAATTGAAGGGCATCCGTTTTATTTCTCACTTCTCGACCCTATACAGCAGGGGTGGGCACGGTTTTTGAACCAGGGGCCTAAAATTTTGCCTCCCTAGACTGGCGGGCCATGTAAGTGTGACATGAAAAGTTATATTTTTTGAACAATATTTACAGTGTTACAAAAGCAAAAGTGAAAACAATGAGCCTTGTGCCAAAACTAAATTTAATCCCAATCTCAAAAAAGGCCTTCAGCTATTTTTAGCTCAACATCTGAATTTGGTTTTAGTTTGGTCGTGGCAGCATCAGGCGGGCCAAATTGAACTACCCAGCGGGCCGGATTTGGCCCACGGGCTGTAGTTTGCTCATGTCTGCTGTACAGTCCGCTGGTCCACATATTTTTTATCCACCAATCTTAAAACTCTCAAACCTACCCTGCCATTACCAAAATGTGACCTCCGTATCCATATACTGAAGCATTGCTCTCCTGTTTCTTTGTTATGGTAAATTTCTGCCATGCATATATTTTGCACCCATAAAAATGTCATTGCAAGTTTGATAGGGCAGGGGCAATTGTATTATATTATGATGATAGTTCATAATTTTCAATCAATTTCGAGCGTTATTTGCTATCATTATTTTCGATAATGCAGGCTGCCCACCAGCAGTTCCATGTTAGCTTAGTAAAAAGGAAAATCCAAATGCCGCTGAAATGGTGGTCTTAAACCAGCTTTTTTAATGCTGTATATACAACAGACATCAACACCTCAATTATGTCTGAAAGTCTGATATCACTTGTTTCTTCTATACATACTATCCTGAGAGCATTATTGCTCTGGGAAACATGGTACAAATAATCCCAGGAATTTGTTGAGCAATTCCCTGTGGTATTGAATTGACAGTTAGGTGGATTAGCTTCATATTATTCTTATATATTTGGCACAAACGGAGAACATTTTACTAATCCAAATTTTTTATTAAATGCTATAATATTCTTTCTAATATCATTAATAAGAGAAAAAATTTATCAATTTTTGGGAAAATAATTCTGGAAGTGAAAATGTTATAAATTTGCAAAAATATTTCTATTTTTTCAAAATAAAAAAAAATTGGATTATTTCTGAAGACTAAAATAAATTTAACTTTAAACCAACTTTTTATATACATAGTAAAATTCCAAATAAAATTTATCATTGTTGCTTTCACCTTTGCACTATTTAATAATATTAATATTTGATTTTAGAAAAGAATTTTAATTTGGTCGTGTCTCTGGGGATTGTGGGATTTGTCATTTTGCCATCTTATCTCTATTTTCTTGGTTTGGTTCATCATTCTTCATTATATCCTTTTGATATACATCAACAGTACTTTAATAATTAAACAACCCTATGAAGAAAATTCAGTATCTTTTTATTTGAAGCAATGCCAGAATTCTAGAGTTGGGCAGCTAAGCCTTAGCATTGCCATAAAGTTAGTAAGTTTCAAAATCCTTTATCTGTATATGACTATAGATTGCATTATTGTGATTCATACCACATTCTTCTTCCATTTTAACTTTCTCTACCTGTATGTATATTTGATTTTGTTTGGTTCTCCGACTGCTTTATCCTCGTTTTTTACCATAAACGTATCACGTTTACACTGATTATGAAGTCAAAAGTTATCAAGATTACTGTCAGGGAGGCCCGAAATCACATTATTCAGAATGAATTCTGAAATAATATATTCATGAATAGGGAATACCAAATGCATTCTGAAAATAAATTTGCAGTAATCATTGAAAATTGGTATACCGTACGTACCGTTGATTAAATTCAGTGGTACATGTAAATATTGATTTTGCCCTTGTTGTTTATAATTTTCAGAAGTAAATTTAAGTCTATTTTATGCCGTACCAATGGATGTCAAATGGTTACAATGAAATATTTTAAAAATAAATATCCAAAAATATAAAATATTACCAATTTTGAGTATTTTCGATTTGAACCCCCACCCCTGATTACTGCATCAAATTAACATTGTATTGATATGGTCTCTGTTGAATACCAATGTACCCTATTTGCACATCTATTTTTTTGTAATTTAACGCAGACAGGTATGCTTTAATTGAGAGACAGCACACAGTACAACCCTTTTCTTCCTCTTTTTATTACCAGGAATTAATCATTGTACTTGAAACAATGTCACTACCTCGAGATTGGGATGATGCGATTCAACGTTCGAGATTGAATAGAACCGATACAAGAGGTCTTATTACACCGAGGGATGGTTCAGAGAATGCATCGAAACCAATGGCCAATTCTATGCAGTCAGATAGCAAAAGTATGTCTATTCATCATAAGGAATTGCTACTTGAATTAATATATCTTTTTCGTTTTCATATTATTAAAACCAGTTCATTTGTCAAATACAATTTGTTTGTGTGAATTTTTTATTTCTTATTAAGACATGCCATATAAGTTATTGAACGTCGCGCAATGTATCATACACATACCAGAGTGAAAAAATATATATTATAATGCTTAAATCCTTGTTTTTTAGGCGTTGTCCAATACCCTCATATAGCATCACACGAGGTCACGCAAAAAATTCAAGAGCCTGACTTTATCAAAGAAAGAAAAAGGTTATCAGATGAACTCGCACTGGAAAGTGATATGATGACTCTGGGATATAATATGACGAAACCAAAGCAGCCTCATAGGTAGGTGAAATTTGTGAATATCAGTATTTTTGTTTTTTTTGTCTAAATTATTCATATCTGGTTGCTTTGGGCTATTTACAATAGTCTAGGTTTTTCTTTGTTAATAAGTATAATCCTATTTCTAAAAAAATTCAAATAATTTAATGGTGTAGGATGCGATTGCATTATTTGCATATTGAAATAGTTCATTTTATAGAAATTTTATCTATAAAATATCCAAATTGTATTGTATCACTAATTTTAATAGGCCAATTTTTTTCCTCAAAATTTGACATAAATTCTGGGTGGCATACTAGCAAAATAAATTTCTACACAGGACTTTATTATCAATTTAAATTACTATAATATTTTGAATAATAAACTACCTATTGTAATCAGGGCAATAGAGTTCCACACCTAACTCTAAACGCAAAGGCATTTAGACGACCTAAATCCAGGTTGACAATAAATTTGACTCTAGTAACTCCTTGAAAACCATATTTTCATAACAAAAGTTTGGCCCCTGCAAGCCTTATCCAATTGTCTATTAAAAGTGCCTCTGTCAACTTGATGCTTTCGGGTTTTTGCAGCTAAAATTTTGATGCTCAATTATAACCGTTAAAAGTATGAAATTCTGGCTCTCGACTCCAAAAAAAGGTAAAATTATGACTTCCAGATCTATGAAGTCTGGCTGCCCTACTTTAATGGTATAATTAAAGAAAAAGGAAAACTCTATGTCTCTAGTTATATTGAATCTCATCAATAATTTGTTTTAGAACTGAATCCGCAGATTACCTCAGAGGATTCAAAAGATCCGATTCAATTCCTCACCATCATCATGTATCTCCTCAACAAAAAAGTACTCACTCAAATCGACGCTCACTCGCGTTACAATTATCTCCTTATAAATATAACATGATCAATGGAAGTCCTGTTATAACGCATTATCATCATCGTTCGAGCAGGAATGGCAATTCTGATTCTAGACGTGTTACCTCATTTGGTGAGTTTTTTTTTAAAGAAACCATTGCTCGATATATGAACACGAAGGTTAAAGGACTAGTATGGCCACCAAAGTCGTATCAAATTTCCAGATGTTGGAAGAATTATATCAAATGCCATACCACAGTAGGACTAAATTTCCATTTCGAAGTTTTGAGAAAATTGTATATTCGTAGTAGTTTGGTTTCCAACAGCCAAACTGGACATATGGCACCACCCAAAATCAGAGCGTTAAAAGGTGCATCTTTTAAACCCAGACCAAAAGATGAGCCTCGGTCTATAATAACAGAAGATCTAAAAAGCTGCATTGGTTTAACTGTTACAATATGATTGTGTGCTGGTGAATTATATATCAAAATTTGAAAATAAAAAATAAAAATCAAGATGGCTTCCGACATCGTTTTCAAGTACTGAAAATTTGAAATTGATTGGTCTCATTATCTGTGTTGAAAAATGATTTTTTTCACAATAACAACAACCCTATAAGAACAGCAACAATAATTTACCAAAACAATCCACAATCCAGGTATGAAACAAATTAAAAATTTTACGGCAAATCTTTTTCAGGTGATGACATTCATCCACACTACAAAGCAGCAAGAAATCTCAACCAAGAACTGTCAATGCATCATGAAGTTCGATCTCCCACAAGGTCAAATGGTCATCCTACTTCGATTCATAACACAATTGATAACGACGGGATACTTTCAAAAGATCGCAGTAAAATATACCATAAAAAAGCATCAAGTCACCATAGACGACCTAAGACAGGTCTGGCTCATTTTACATTTATTTTTCTTATTTTTTTACTGTAAAGTAATTTCTATGCTTATAATTTATCGTAATTGATGATATTAGTTCTTGCAATTATAAGCATACATCATGTAATCATTCCAAAAATAATGAAAATTGTTTATCATGTTTGGTTAAGCTGAACCAAAATATCAAATTAATGGGTACATTGGCATAGCTTAGGACAAGAGATTCCCAACCTTTTTCGTTAAATCCCTTTCGTCGCATATTTTGAAACGTTTTATTCCTCGCTTGTTCTTTATTCGATCTTTAATAAAGGATTCCTAGCTTGTGTTAACACAAGTTGCTCTCCCCTGTACAGTTCAAGTAATTTATAATGTGAGCATATAGAAATATTATAGTAATAATAAAGAACTAAAAAATATTAGTAAGAATACAGCAAACACAAAACTCAAGTAAAATTGCTCCGAAAAACAACAAAATTCCTTCCTGGGTAAGAATTCTACCCCAATTGGGAAATGTTGCTCAATGTGTAAAAAAAGGATTTAATTTTTATACCGATAATTATTCCGGGGAGAGGAAAGTAGACAAGACAGATTAACCATTTGGTAGACCAAAACTTTCCGTACTGTTACAATTCCATGCAATGTATGGAGATCCTTATTTAGTCAAATAGGAATCAAGCATAGTATAAATATACCAATATGAAACAAAATTTGAATAAAACTAAATTTCAAATATTCATCAAATACTAACAATAGAGATCTTATTCTCTTATTCTCTCTTATCTCATTCTCTTATTATTTTCAGGAAGTCTAAGTTCTTCAGAAACAGACAATTCTATTGACAATAACAAACCTGCTGACGTACCACAACCATTGACTGACAGAGATATGAGGTAAGTTATCAGTTTCATAACTCAGTAGTATAGCAGGGATTCTCAGTAAACAAAACCAAATGATAGTTAACATTCAAAATTATATGTACTTGTTATCCATCTGAAAACTAATAAACGATTATTTATTTCCAGCCCTATTGAATAGCAAATCAGTTGATAAAGATTTTGTAATGTATGCTTTTATTTTATTGCTAACTACTGTACGTACAGTTATAATTATTATGTCCGATCAGCATGAAAATGCACATTTTGAGTATATACCTTCGATTAATAGCATATGAATTGTGATTTTAAGATTTTATCTGCAAGTGCATACATTGACAGGATCGTGCTAGTTTATATTTGCCCATATTATGTTACTTGGAATGAAATTTCAATCTTTTTTAATTCATCTCTCATTACACTTTTGAATGATATTGTTCTTTTATCATTTGAATGAAAGCTACAAAATTTACACAACTATTGATAATCCTCTAATGAATTTATATGTTCTAATAAATGCTGGGATCAATGTACTTCACAGCGTCATTACTATAGATGAGAGCATGCAAATCCCACTTTAAAGTCATAATTTCATATAACTATTCTTCTCGGCCTTTTCACACCATTCTGTTCAATAAGGGGAAGCATTAGGATTCTGATTTAAATTTATAAAAAATGTTCTACACACAAATTGACGAAATTACTTTTTTTCATGAATAAGAATGTTTTTTATTCTTGCCAAATGAAACTTTCGCGAAGTTCTGAAATTATATTAAAGAATTTCAAAATATTCAACTACACATAAATATTTAAATTTCTAATTGCCAAGTTAGGTTGTGGCGGTGACAGCTAGCGGGTTCGACCGGAGGCTGGAAAGCGTGGGTTTTTAAAAGGTTCCCAGATTATTACGACATTCCAGGAACGGGTTTCATCAGAGATACAGCAATAACTATCCTACCATTTGCGGAAAAAAAAATTGTTTTTACATTTTAGAAATTTCAGATATCATGACCAAAACCTGACAGTGGAAACACCAAAAATTGTATCTAGAAGAAGTAACAAAAACTCAGACAAAAGGTTTACAACGCATGACGGAATGGGACAGACTTCACCAAATATTCAGAGGGAAGATAAAAGAGTTTCTTCTTCTAATCCTTATTTGAAGTGAGTTATTGAGGTTTTGTATGCCATCTATAACCATAATAAAGTTTTTTTACATTGTAGATATGGAAATTTATGAGAAATATCGTGAAAACACGATTTGAACTATGTGATTGTGTTTCTCTTTGAATAGTCTAATTCTTTGTTTCTTTATTACAGCACTTGCCACATCAACCAAGAAAACCATGCACCCTAAAACGAATCACATTTAAAATTAGGCATTGAGTTTTAAAACCAATATATAGCATCAAATTTAAAAATCTAAGGGCTCTAACAATGGCTTTTCTTTAGAGTAATATGGATTTATACAACCTTTGTGCCATACAAATGCACGGTAATATTATTACCAGGAAAAGACTGTGACATTTTACTTCCTATAAGATATATCCTATCCTATATATCCTGTAAATTGGAGGATGTAAGAAATTGTACACCATATTTAAATAGACTAGCTAGAAAAGCGGTATTTTAATTGGTAATGTTCATGTCTATTCAATACATAAGGGAAGCAAATTAATCGTTTTTCATGGCTTCCATCAATTACAATTTTGTTTACAATTCTAATCCAAAGAAATGAAATGAACTTCATTACATTGTCATCTTTATTTCGGATTGTCCCCGACAGGATCGAATTCTCTTGCTTTCAGCTTGTTGGTTATCATTCCTTCATGCTTCTGTAGGGCTACCCGAATCACTACAATCTATGGTGAAAGAAGTTATTGTAAATGCGTATGCCAAGGACCTTTCATTAGTCCATTGCTCTTTTTCATCATTATTGTTTGATAATAGCAAATTCGATGAAGTTACATTTGAATGATAAAATAGATTGATAACACATTGTCTAATAAGTATAATAGAGGTTATACTTAATTGGGTAGAGGTCCCTAAACCCAGGGTCATAAAGCCATTAAATGTTTTGTACTATATTGTACAAAACCTCTCATAGTATTTTTATAGCAAAAAATATCCAGTAAAGTTGGGAGAGAGAAAGGAAAAAAATCTGTGCTTCCATTTAAACTGTAAATACATTTTGTAATAATACATTTGTAATTTTAAATTGAAGTAGACTTAAATTCTTCGATCAAACATATTTTGTGTTCACTGGTTTGTATACTCTATTCATATTTGATGAATTTTCATGGTAACTTACTGCGATTTTGCTACCGCATTGCATCATGTCTTTTTTTGTCTTTCATTGAACTGCTTGCAAACAGGAAATTGTGGTGATGAAGTAACGTAATTTTTTCTACTTTTTATTGTCTAGTGCTGAGATAGAATTTGTACAAACAGCTGTTTTTCTATGAAATAATGTGTGTGTCAAAGTGGGGTCACATGAACTCAGCATTATTGCTACAAACTGCAATCGGAAAAAAGGGGGTATTGGCCATTACTGATGGCTAACTGACCATCTTATTGTCCGGCTATGCAGAATCATAATTTTATGCGTTTGATGAGTCCTATTTGATTCAACAAAATCAAGATTCCTCTTTTTTTTCTTGCTACAGCATCCTTTCAGTATGTGCACACAATTCCCATAGCTCTTATAGTTGGGAGATAGGAAGTCCTGTTAATCATATTAGGCTTGGTATTTTTTCTTCGATCCATGCAATAAATAATAATTCCTATAGCCATTATAATAACTGATCATTTCCCATAGGATTCGAATCTACAGTTACTGTATGATATGTTTTTTTTTTAACCTTAATCACCATCTTCATAAATTTCTATTCAAAATTCATTAGCCATCCCAAATTTCACAGAAGATTTTTTTTGTTTCAGGAATCATGAGATGTCAAAAGTAGGTGGTGGAAGAAGTTCTAAGAATATGATTAAAAAATCCAGACATCATGAAGTGGAATCTTCATCACCAAGAAGCCCAGAAGATTTGAGAACAGCAGTGTCTATCCCCTATTTGAGGTGAAATATTTGCTTCGAAAAAAGATATTTAAAGACAGTTCATGGTGGTGATTTAGCAAGTAGAATATAGCAATATTAGTTGGATTTTGCTGTCTAAAGCACAAATTTTGTTCAACCTTTTTGGTTGAGATATTGGCGAAACTAAAGTGTGTTCTGGAAAAAAAAGTCATCGGTGCATTTTGCTATAACTAACTCTGTTCCCCTGACCTTTCCTCTTTTACAACATTACAAGTCAACACAGAACCTGGACTGCCAAAAACACGTCTATGTACCAATTTCATTCAACATTTACACTGGATACATATGTTTATTTGCCATTCTCTCTTGATAGGAATCTTCGATCTGGAGAAGAAAGTGTTTCATCATCAGGCAATGGTACACAGAGATCTCACTTTGATGATAAATTAAGTTCATATGTATCTGAAGCATGTCAGGCAGAATCCAGAAATTATGTTGATTCCAGAATGAAAGGTTGGCATAGCTCTAGATCAGCTATTCTCAACAAAGAACCTGCACCTCCATCTTCAGATTACTTGAAGGTGAACATGCATAGTATATTATGTTTTACCGTACTTCTCTTTTTGAGTATTCTATCTGTGAATTTTACTGACATAATTTCATTCTGAATACCAGAGAAAATTCATGAAGGGCCCATACTTCATCCAGCTGCTCAATTCTACTGTTTCATATTAGATCTTAGTCGCTTTTCCTACTTCATTTTTTCACAAATGTATTCAAGCAAAAAATTTGAAATTTCACATTATCTGGAGCTGGAGCATAAGTTGCATTTGGAAGACATTGCTTATCCTGTATGGCAGGATTTTTTTTCCCGCGCACCCCAAGGGATCTGTGTAATGACTGCACAGGGGATCTGCAATGATATGAAAAGAATGTGATTATGTGATCTATATTTAAAGTTTGATTTAAATCAAAAAGCCATTGCATCTTTTTGGTTGAGCATTGGGGACGAATATTCATTGCTGTCAGTGTCAATAAGGCGGCATTTTCAGCTCTTACGAATATGATGACAAAATACAGGTTGAGACTTGGTCGTAGAGTCGGACGTGTGTTGTAAATGGAACATTACCCTTCCATTTTTCATCAGTCTGTATTGTCGGTATTTAAAATTATATACTGAACGTGAGTTCAACTCATATTCATTTCTTCCTAAAATTGTTGTCTCTCCAGGTTCGTAGCATTGGTACAACTATTGCTGATCAGTCGCTTTTGAATGGGCAGAATAAAAATCAACAGACCATATCTGAGTCGTCAGAAACACTGATGACTGCAGCATATAAACCTAACGAAGCACGCAGGAGAGAATTATACAATTCTGCACGAGAAGCCAAACATATTGATGATATCATAAGTCCAACAGTCTCTGAAGATACGTTTGATGAAACTCGTCGAATCGGAGTGATGTCGGTTCCGTCTTCAAGTGTGACACAAGTCCCCCCAACTCGGCAAAGCGCAGAACCACCAAGACGTTCACGACACATATCAGACGGCAGGGTTTCTGAGCAGAACCCTCGTTCTGTCAACCCTAAGCTGTTAAGAAGAGAAAATTCTTGGAATAAGTTGAAAAATTCATATTCACCTGAACCTCTGATGCCACATTTTCATTCTCCTTTTGGAACTCCAGAACATTCTTCAAATATTGTTCTTCCACCGGCGATGAATGCTTCTGAAAGTCGAGATAGACCAAGTGCTTTCAGTAGACCAACTCATAATTCTTCAAAAAATACAAAAAGAAGAAGTAACAGGAATTTACAGGCTGAAAAGTGAGGACAATTTTTACAGATTTTTTTCAATTTATCATTTATTATTTCTTTGCCAATTACAGGTAGTCTTGAAAAGGGGTCTTGATATGTACTCGAATCGAGTCAAATTTTTGTATTGTTGGAAATGGGATTCTGCATGTTCCTCATCATATCAGGCTGACAATATGCAAACATAATGATTTGTTTTTTAACAATTTCCTTTTTCTTTTTGTAGAGTTTACTCACAGAATATCCCCCTTCCTAGAGGTTGGCCAATACCAAACCCGGTAAGTTATTATTCGAATTCTTAGTTATTGCTCATTGCTCTGAATTAAAGTATCTATTATTTTAAAATATTAAAAATTGATAAAAAAATTGATTTCCACATTTTCATTGTATCCAATGTTGGTCAATAATGACACACCCACAATTCACTTTAATAAAAATACATAAGCTTTCTCAAAATTAGTTTACTCAAAGAAGTAACAGGTGTTAACTATTCACATACCCTGCATCGGCTGCATGGACTGGTAACCGGATGAAAAGCTGTAGTTCGACAAATGATTACACCATTTTATCATCTTTCCAAACTGTCCTATATTGTCGTACAAACAGGTACAAGAAGGCATTAGCACCGAATCCAATACTACTAATGATGAGGTGAGTGAAGCTCTCAATGACACAGCTAGAGAACTGGCTGGGGTTTCAGAAATACTGGAAACGGCTGTTGAACAACATAAACGTGATCAAAGCAAGCGGAAAAATCGTGACAAAACTTCCAAAGCGAAACCAGATTTGGGGTAGTGTTTGCGCTGTCCGGTATCTAAGAATTTTTATTTATCTGGAACATAGACTCTATCAGTTCCTGTAATATTTCGTTTTTAGGATGATATACTATCATACTCCCAAATTCCAGCTATCCAAAACCAAACATTTCCAACATACGTTTCACTCTGACCCAAACTCGCGAGTTGCGACTGTGAAATATCTTAATTTTCTCAAAAATTGATTCTTGCGCTAGGTGTTTTAAGTTACTGTCAAAATTCATTTTCAATTTCAAATTTGATTCATTCTAAAACCCGCGAAAAAAGAAAAACTGCACCTCAATTGTCTGCTTCATAGGCTTCTATAACTTATATAAATTAACTAATTTAGCAGCTGCTTTATGTACTATAGAAAAAGGTGTATCTTGTAAATTACCATAAATGCAGCCCCATACTCGTTTATATATTTTATACCTCTGATTTAGTAGTTAAGTAGTAATATCTAGTCTTGTACCTGACTTCAGTTTTCTTCCAAATCTTGCTATATGCAAAATAAAATTGTAGGATTAGAAATATGAGCTGTAGATTGCAAGAATGACTCCAATTTTCTCTTGGTGTATATTGTTTGATATGAAATACTATTTGTGTTTACCATTTTGGGAATTGCGTAGAAGCAATGTAGTCTACTGGATGGAACTATTACTTTATCACTGACAGTAACTTTGCTCATAGTTGGAAAGGAAGTGACTTTTTAATGCAAAATAACACATTGATAAAGTGAAATTTGCCGGAATTGAGAATATAATCAATCTGTTTGTCCACATTTGAAGGAAAATGTTTTCTTCAAATTTTGATCTCAATTCCTATGAACTTATAAAATGAACTTTTGTCAAGTTATATTGCGATACAATATTTTTTGGTGGTCAAGTTTTTTACGCATTTCAATTTTGGGGTGATGATAAATACCATATGGCATTGTGGGACCATGCATGATCGACAATACCTGGACAAAGTGAACATGTAAGGTTTAATGTATTTCTAATGTGATAGCTGTTTTTTTTTAAACTTCCCTGTCAGAAATTATTTCCAAGCTTGATTTATGGTTAATCTTGCTTAAATGGCACGATTTATCTGTGGATTATACACGGCCATGGATATGTAAATATTTTCTGACTCTGACATTATACTTCTCACTGTGATTAAGCTTAAGAATATGATCAAATTTTTGATTTTCATCTCAGAGGACTTGAATTTTTTTTACTCCCAATATTTCGTTTTCCAAGAATTGTTCCCTTTTTCACATTTTTGTATATTTTCAAGGTTTTGCTGCTGATTTTTTTTTATAAAAGCAGGTTTGTAATCACAAGGTGTGGTAAAATGAAGCAAATATAGTAATTTGAGATTTTACAAAACAAAGTTTTTTTATTCATTTTTGACTCGTTTTTTTATGATGGAACAAAATTTGCTGTTAGAGTAAATGTGTAAAGTAAGAAATAGATTAAAATTCATGGAAGAATGAGAGGTAAAATGGATATTTGGTAAGATTATTTGAAAAAGATTTTAGCTGAATCCTTAAACTTGAATCGCCTAAGATGGAAATTTTGTCCAATTTCGCTACCTTGAAAATAAAGATTTATTTATACAATTTTGTAAAATTTGGAAAAAGTCTAAATGTAAAAAATAATTAACATTTACATGAAGGAACTTTTTGTTTACTTGGTCACCATTTTTATGCCAAGGTCAATAAAGCTAAGCAAATTCTTTATTGGATTTTCGACTGAGCCAAAATTCGCGTATTTATTCAATATAACTACGCATTTAAGTTAGCTATAATTTTATAGCATTTAATATTTCTTAATAAGAGTACTACCCGATTATCAATTGTGATTGACTTAATCAGTGCTGTTCAGAAAAATTTCAAAATATTTTATCAAACTCGTTATTAGTAATCTAGTTAGCTATAGCTTGCCATGATATGTGGTTTTAGATCATTTCTATATCTTGTTGTTTTAGAAAAAATTCATATTTTTTATCAAAATTTTTTTTAGGTAGAAAGCTTGTTTTTAATACATTGTTTAGTTTAATAGATAATTTCAAACCATTTTTAGGTTTAATTTTGTTATGGAAATAGGTAAAATAAGTATATGGTATGCTGTAAACTCAGTTTAATAATATTAATGCTTACTGCTTAGCAATAGTAAATAATACAGAAATGCATGAGAAAAAGGGTCTAAATTAGTGGCACGAACCAACACATGTTTTTGCTCACGCTAATTACTACTAAACAAACGACATACATTTGTGTGATGATAATAAATGTATAAACAATTTTTGTTTTATACATCCAAAGTGAGGCGTTTGAGAGCCACAAAAAATTTGTTTTTGGGCCGCGGTTTATCCACTAGTGGTCAAAAGTATGGGTGAAAATTGATGTAGTTTTTGAATATTCAAACGCCAATAAATAGGTTCTTAATATAATGAAATAGGTGGATATATATATATATACCTATAATTTGCAGTGTCTGACTTTTTTTTACTTTGAAGGAATAGCAATTTTTTTCTAATGAACTTTTATCATTATAAGTCTGTTATCATATATATTGATATGGCGCATATAAAGCATATATTTCAGTCAATATCTTACAGTGAAGCAACTCGGCGAAAATTGGACTTGACACTTGCTTTCCCTAAATCTATTTGGTTATACAGGCTCTGCATGTTCATGCTCAGTCAAACAGTTTTGGCATCAATTCAGTGTAATTAATGCCGGTAATCATTTTTTATCTGGACACATGAAATAGTATAGGATTTTTTAATGCAATGTATATTGATTGAATGATGTATTTAGTACTATTGTTTGTTTTTTATATACTTTGATACAATGAGTTGTTTTTCAGGGTTTATTATATATCTATACTCAGGCTAGAAGTGTAATGTCATCCTAATCTGATCAATATGTGTAAAATTTAACTGTTTTACCTACCACCATTATCAGTAAATACGCATTTGGTGGTTTAAAATGTATATCCTTTAGCTAGTCAAATTTTCCAGATAAGGATTTTCATATTTATCAATGCGGTGAGAAAAGTCGATAAGACGGCTCAATCATATGACAAACTACGGCTTGTATGGTAATCCAACACCCATTTCTTGTTAATAGGATATTGAGAATGTATATTCACATAAAACTAACTGACCTTTCCCTAAATACACCAATTTTTGCAATTGTAAAAAGTGTATGTAATTATCGATGAAGATTCGCTATGGTTCGTATCAATTACAAAAATCAGCTTTTTTAAGTTTTCCATATTTTGTTAGGAATTTTATTTGTGTCAAAAATTTGACCACTTACAGGTGTGTAGTTGGTTGAACTTTCTTATCTTGGGCATGGTTAAAAATTTATAATCGGGTAGGTTATCAGTGTAATGATAAGATATCCACTACAATATTCTACTACTCTGTCTGCTACATTATGATAGCATCAATTTTTACTGATTTTAGCACATTTCGCCTCCTCTACAATTGACTGTTTCTATCTGATATACATCTCCCATCTTTTGCTATTTTTAAGATAAGCTAAAACCAATACTACGTTTTCATGTTTTTACTTCTTAATTTTGAAAATTTTTTATTTTGTGAATACTATTTGATCCAAAAACGTTCCATTCCTTTTCGTACTTTCATACTTGATACAATGATAAACTATTGATAATATTGCATCTTCTTCAGTATTCCTAATGCCTCACCTTTTTCTATGGCTTGTGTCTTTTGCTACCCCTTATTATTGAATTTTTTATGGCCATGTATAGGCAGTGTCCTAGAGTTGAGGGTGAACTTGGTGGCATAAGCATTGCCTATCTATGGTCAAGCATAATTCAATAATAGCACAGTATGTGCCATAAATTTTCTTCAATCTTTTTCTACACAATTCTTTTTACAGCAGTATGGTTTTTGTATCATCGGATTATCCATTGATCATGGTCGAGAATGTGGTCTTTTTCTATAGAATACCACATCTCCAAGCTTGATTGATTTATATTGTTGTCTTCTGTATGTAAGATATCATTTTCAATGTGTAAAATAGTTTGCACTATCAACTAGTCGGTATTTACAATGAGTTTATAATATACTATTTTTACTTCAATTGACTTGACATACTGGGCATGTATTTTCGAGGAGATTGATGAAGATCTAGTTGTACGCATGGGTGTAGTCATGGGGGGGGGGAATGCACCTCCTCCCTCTCCAATCCCCCAAAAAAATTTGAAAAGCGATTTCGTTTTATTGGGGAGCAATTCGCTGATAACCCGACGATTTTCGACGTACTATCAATTCTTCCTCCAAATGAAACGACCGAGCGGACAACTTCGACAAGGAAGTTAGTCAGCGGAGAGATTCTTTAAGATATAGTTAGAGATGTATCAGTGGCAGCTGCTACCTGGTTTTGCTTGGAGAGAAAGATTTGAGTAAGCGTATTGAAAAAAATCCCCCCCCCCCCCCATTTTGGGCTACCTACGCTCGGAGTCGACTTGGGACGCACGCGGACCCACCTAACACTGAAACTGGTGTGTATGACAGAATTATATATTATATACTTATTTTACCTAAAATTAACAAAACAGTCCATTAGTTCGGATATCTGCACTATGTAAATCATATGATACGAATAAAAGCGGCACGTTCGCGAAATTAACATAAATTATGCATTTCTCCGAAAGCGGATATCAGGGGTTACTTATATCCAAAATACTTCGGCAAAAGTGAGCCGATTTTGTTACAAGATATTCGACACTAAATCGCTGAGATTTTCCTCAACTTCATTCGATACAAACGATTAGAATGGAATATCTAACTCACAAAACAAAAACATTTGAAAAAGAAGGAATTTTGCCGCGTTTACACGTTTGGTGATAGCGCAGAACAATATCTATTCTTATTTATGTAGACAAAAGAGCATGTGCCGAAAAGCGCTTAATACGAAAGTAAAAAAACGACGTGAAAAATAAAACAACAATAGATTTAATACATATATGTTACTATTTGATATATTAACCAAATGCGATAAAGTTACCACAATTGTATTCATGTACGATGAATTTCTTCGATTCCTGACTTCTGAAGTAACTTGCTTGCAGATTTCGTCTACCATTTCCCCGTAAAATTTGCTATGACTTAATCAGTAATGCAAAAATCAATTTGGAAATAAAAATGATACTCATGTAGTATGGCAAGATGGCGGACACCGGAACGTAGTATGCGTACCAGGTTAGGATTAGGTCATAATTTCAGATACAAATACTACGGGAGTCACTTGGCTAGTCGTCGAACTCGTAATAGAACTAAAACAAGAAAAATCGGAATAAAATTATGTCCTAACTTAGTACACATATTACATTCCGGTGTCCGCCATCTTGGTTAACATAATACGGGAACGCCATAAAAATTTGATTGTACCGCAAGTCAATTGCTTTGAAGCAAGGCACGAATCGAGCTTTCGTCCAAATAACCCTACGATGCGATATAATTTTTCTGAAATTGACGGAAGAATAAATAGAGCCGGAATAGAGTTTCCTGATACTACTATAATCTTTCTTTTTGAATAATTTATTCTTATATAACATATATATTATTGAATACAATCAACAATGATATGAATAATAAACACTACACACGAATGCGCCACATGTTATTCCAGATCATATAATTTATTCATGTTGACTCACGTGTTTCAGGCTCGTTGACTTCCCGGCGAAATTTCATTATTAGGATTATAAAAGGATTATTACGAGGAAAACAAAGACTAAGAAGTGTTGTAAGCTCTAGCACCCTTCGCTCGTTTAAAAGTCTGTAAGTAAAAACGACAAATAATTATATTAAAAGTGATACACTGCTTAAATATTTTCCAACTAGCAATTTTTGGAAATAAAATTCAAAATTGCGATACTTTTTTGCTTTGTGCGATCTGTAATTTTTTCACTATTATTTATAAAGGTTTATAGCGGAAATGATATACAAAAACCACGTATTAAAGATTTTATATTGAAATGATTCGTCAGATACGTGTATTATATCTGAAAGCACTTACAAGTTCGTAAAATCAATCCCCTTAATCAAGAATGAGATTTGTGTAATCTACTTGTATTAAATCCAAACGGGAGTATTTGAGGGTTTAGGAATCTTATAATGAATGTTACAATGCATATATATATATATATATATTAGTTGCCAAGACTGGACATTATACCATTAACAGCATACGTTATCTTTCTTGAAACAGGTAGTAGTTCCCATCAAAGGTAGCCAACAAATAACTGAAAGACTCAGCTATTTAATCTTCCAAGTTAACTATAGCAATTTTCATATGGTACAACTGGTACATTCTCGTAAGTCGTAACCGTAACGTATCATACTTTCAAAGTTAAATGAGTTATTTCATTACTTGTGTCTGTTACTATACATAGCTATATAAAAAAGGTTTGGAATAGAATATTGAAACAGTCCTTAAACCATACCAAATACCATAGAAGCGTTTGGTGTTCAGGTTGATTTATTGTCCTGTGTCGAATTAGTCAAGGTGATAAGGGCAATGTGTCAAATATAGAGTAACACGTCTTATTTTGGCAACGAAAATTGAAATTGATATACAAAGCCAGTCCCAATGATATGTATTGATTTCAAGTTTTCTCAATATTTTGGCAGAACGTTCGTGATCAATACTCAGAAATAACGAGATGTCTCGATAATGGATATATATATTGTATCTATAAGCACAATGGACAGATGTTTTACTCCCAAATCGTATTCTTTGTTAAACTCGCAAGTGAGAAAACAAATTTATATATGTACTATTCAATTATCATGTATTCAGATAGGTTTACAGGTATAATGGTATACCGGTTCATACATATTTGGTCAGTTCCAAGCTGAGGTCACAGCAGTCCAGTGACGTAAACCAGATGAGGCTATTCGGGTGAGGTACCAGTTCAATATGAACGGGGGAAACAAACTTGCCACCTACTATACCACTTTTAGGTGCTTGAATTAGTCAGTTTGAGAATTTTATCTAACTTATATTGTGCTGAATTCCCGGATGTGGATCCAAGGAAGTAAGACCCTTGAGATATTGCACGCGGAAGTTTATGATAATTTGTTGAAATATATTGTATTTGACCAGAAAGTAATGAGCATAGTAATATCAATATACAAAAATGCTGTTAGTTCACGTAATTCTTTATCTATATGATATATATATTAAAGAAGTTTTTTTTGTTCAGCATTAAATATAGTTAAGCTGCCCTGCAGCGACATGCTTTACCATGCAGCAATATCGGCTTGATCTGACCGGGTAATAATCTCTGACGTAGAGCAGGAGTTTAATTTTCCGTATTGCTAATAATTTCTGAACACCCTTTTGAATAATTCAATTCGATTATCCAATTAATATTCATATGTAAATACAGCAATTATATACGACCGCATAAAAAGGCAGAAACGACAGAATTTATCATATGCAATGCTCCTATATTTGCGGATAAGAGCGTTCGCAATCGGGCAAGATTCACGGTAAGGTAAAATTCAAAATGCACTTTTCAGTTTAGATAGTCTAAATAGTTTTTCAAAGTTTGCCCAACTCGACTTGGAATGTTGCCATAAAAGAGACCATGACTATTATTCACTCATTAGTGGAAGATTACGCTCACTCACTCAACAGTAGAGACGGAATAAATCGAATTATTCTCGCCAAATTTTATCATTTCAAATTTTCAATCAACAAACTGTTACTGTACAATTCACCGCGGTGTTCGACACACTCACTCGTATTAATCACAACGTGTGAATATATATGTTTCGAAACTATGACAACCTCATAATTATTAGAATCATTTGCAAACTCCTATCATATCGATATGGCTGTTATGTCAGTATCTATAACTGTGGTTTTCAAACAGTGGGGTACACGCCACAAACGGGGCGCGAAACTTGACAAATTCTAAAAATTGGGCGCGTCTTAAAAAGTTAGAGAAGCACTGATCTATAGGGAAATCATAAAATATTGAGGTGATAATGGCAACGTCGTCATGTGGCAGTTGATACAAGGATTGGAGGGTTGAAACTTTGATTCATGGACGTAGGTAGAGTGTTAAAAATTTCATTATGCCGAAACTTTTGAAAGCAATTTTTGACTAATGTTAAACTCTTGGAAGAACACGTGGAACTCCTAAGGGAAATGAGTGAAAGAAATGAAATCTTATCACAACTGGGCAGATTTTTTCGTGAAAAATTTTCCGCCGATTGTGTGACACGATTTGAAGTTAAGTGTCACATTTTATTGTTATTATTTGTAACGATTTTATAAAGTGAAGATATGAGCATGAGCCTACAAATAACTTAAAATGAAGAGAGAAACAATATGGAGACTGGTATTCGGACTGTTGCAACCTCGAAGTATGGAAATTGATTACGTACGTGTTCAATTCGCTCCAAGTATGGAAATTAATGATATTTATGTTCAATAGGCTTTTAGAGTGATATGCACTTCTGTTTATGACATTTTAAAATAATAGGTAGATGCTCGCGTCAGAGAATTATTAGTCAGCCATACTGAACTGTATTGACAAGCATGCAAAGTTTTGATAATTACCGTTGCTACATGGCGTTGAAATCGATCGTGTACAATATTGGCAGCTACTAATCTATATAGTATTCAAATGCCAAGTGACGTGTTAACGATATGCGACAGGAAGGTTGCCAAGTTTTGTTATAATGTGATATAAAGTGTGATTGATTAAAAGAAGTTATATATATATATATATATATATATATAGTTTAATAGTATTTAGAGAATGTATGTTATCGTGTTCAGGCTGATAAAAATCTCGGATGTATGGTTTCGTTTGACCTTACCGAAAATATCAATGCTTGTTTCTATATAAATTTTAATCATGCCATGCTGTGGCCAAATAATATATTAACGTTTGCATAGTCTAACTCAATGGTCGGCAACCTTTTTCAAGTGACGGACCGGTAAAGTCTGACCAAAATCTTGGCGGACCACCTTTATACAAACGAACTAAGCCTATGCAATAAATTAAATGCATTATGAAATTGATGCTATTTAACGCGATATCTGTATTTGTTTGATGG